AGAGCACTTATAAAGAGTATCTCTATCTCTTTTTCTCTTGTATACAAGCTAAGCCATCTCACTCACACACAATTGGAGCCTGACCAAATTTCGAGTACTGTCGACAACTTCGGTTGATGATTTCGTTCGTAAGACTTTTTATTTCATATTTTTGGGCCAATTTTAAATTAATGCAATCAACCAACATTTGATACTCCAAATTTAACTAATATTATAAATACGAAAGTCCATCCATCCATCCATCTAGGTTTTAAAGCTATGTTCTACACCTACGCAAAATTTCAGCGAGATCTATGCAGCCGTTTTAGAGATACCTTCAAACAAACATCCAAACATTCGCATTTATATAATTAGTAACAGTAAGAAGTAAGATATATAATTTTTAACAAAGTATTGTTAATACATATATAATTAAACTGTAATGAAATCCCGTAAGTTTATTATAAAACCGCGTACATAAAGTCACAGCGTTCGTAAATATATTTGTCGTGAACCGAGCGTCCATTACGTGCTAAGTGCCAGCTCGAAATATTGCATTCGTTTCGACGTCTCGCCAAAATGGACGCCAGCGCCATCTACAACTATGTAACTAGGTGAGTGCCGCGTGCATAAGTTTGTTAACTTAATGCGTTTTGTGTACTCTCATATCACCGTTAAAATAACTTAAGTACGGTGGGTTTCTAAGACCAAAATCCCCATTTAAAAATTATCTCTATTTTTTAAAAGATGATGACAGGGATTACGATATGTTTTATACAGATATTTTGACATCAGAATCCCACGGTAACATGTTTTAAAAGAACGAAAGTAACTGTTTGTAGAAACTGTTTGATATGTATTGTGATTTCTCAAACCTTCTCATTTTTAAATGTTTAAAGAATGTTTGTTAATTTGTAAGTATGTAGGCTTATCGTCGGTTTCTGATATCAAAATCCATGACAAATCACAGATAACATAATACGATTAAGATGGGGATTTTGGTTTCGGAAATCAACGATTAGTAACTTAAATTTCGTTTAAACATTACTTCAGGAATTGAATAGTTATGAGTATTAAAATAAACAAAAGATTGATATTTATCCTTTGGGAATCGATATGTCTAGATTAATGAGACGGTATCACTTTCTTAACTTAGTTCCTTTATTATAAAACACTAGTGAAGTGCCATTGTTAAGTTCGCAAACATCTATCGGAACTCGCGGCGACAACTATCTCATTAGTGTAGTGCTCTTTCTTCTGGTATTACGAAGTGTTTTTTGTAAATAACACTGACAAAGGCTAATGCGTCGTGGAGCCACAAACCAGCTTTAAAAAAAATCGTTTCTGTGCTGTAACCTATAAATAGACCGTGATTAATGGCACATAATCAAATTAAATAGATAAACTGTAAATTCAGTTGAATGCTAAATAAATACTTAATAAAAAATGTATTTGTCAAAACATATTAACCCTTAATTCGACGAAATTTTTTGTAGCAAAAAAACTGTCTTTTTTTTAGTAAAGTCATATGTAACTTTCTCTAAACTATAATAGTTCAGTAGATTTTTTTAATTAGTTGTTCGTCACACTGGACACCATCGAATTAAGGGTTTAAGATATGCTTCACATCTGGACAAAATAGATTGTTGTAATTCTTCAAATAATCTCAGAAAAAAAAATTCAGTACCTTATTACGACAATAGAAACTTTAGGTTATATTTTAAATGAGCTTTCAAGTTTTGTGCACCGTTGACAATCGTGTTTCATTCGACCACGTCTTAAGACTCGTAGCACAGGTATTAAGCCGCGGCATTACTTTTGTCGCCTCACGTACGCATCGTCGACGCTAACTGCTGTTTTTGAATCTTGTTAAAACAACAATCAACAATTTGAAACAACGAGTGTTGTTGTCATTATTATCTTGTATAATACGCTAAAGTTATACATAAAAAAATCACGGATTCTCTTACGAAGTATAATTTGAAAATAATTTTTAGTATTTCGAGTAGGATGTTTAAAAAGTAATTTCTATATGTGTTAAAATGCCACTTAAAATTATAATTTTTTCATCGCGACAAGAAATCAATATATTGTTGGGAAAAAAATTCGGAAATAAGTCAGTGTATTGACTCAACACTAGCCTTACTAAAATGTCGACGTTTATGTTCCCTCACTATTCATTCTGACACTGGACTTTGTAACAAAAGGACGTTTCGCGTTAAAGGATTGTAAAAAGCGATCAGGAAGAACTTTCGAACAATAGACAAGATATCAAAGATCTATACTTCGCATGACTTGATACTAAGATACAATTAATTGGTTCTCTATTATACCATGTCTGATAAAAAGAATTAAAACGTACGTATATACGTAAAAAGAATTGTTACCTATATATATAAAAGAAAGTCGTGTTAGTTACAATATTTATAACTCAAGAACGGCTTTACCGATATGGTTGAAAATTGATGAGGAGGTAGCTTAGAACCAGGAGACGGACATGGGATACTATTTTTTTTTCGAATCTATGCCTTGAAGAGCTGCTTTTTCGTAACTTATTAAGTTTTTTTTATATAATTTATAGTTTTTTTTATATAATATTGTATTATTAAGTTTTTTTATATATCCACGCGGACGAAGTTGCGGGCGACAACTAGTTTGCAATAAATTCTTTGGTGGGTTGATGGTGGGTTTCGTGACGAAACACAGACAGATAACGTATGATTTTATCTCTAGTTTGTTAAAAAATATGTTTATGTGAAATCTTTATAGTTTTTATAGTTAACTGAATATGTCGTTAACTCCTTTTTGCGAGGTCTATTTCAGTTTTTATTAAAGACTTAATTTTAAATATCTAGTTAAGACTCAACTTGATTTCGTAATCTTCAACAGACTATCCTAGATTATAATAAACTTCTATACTAACTTGACGGGTAGCAATAAAGTACATGACTAAGTTACACTTAAGTTAATTTGTTTCCGAGAAAAAATCTCACGTAACATATAAGAGTTCCGTTTTTAGTTTTGCAATCTTATTAACTTTCTAGCTTAACTAACTTTAACTTACTTAAGTTAAAATTAAAATTTAAACTGACTAACTCTTTCTTAGTAACACTTTGATAATTGTAAAAATGATAAGGTCATTTGACAGAAATAGGATTTTATGGAATACAAAAGTCTTCATTTTTAAAATATAACGTAAAAAGATATGATTAAGAATTGATAAATAAATCCTCGTTTATGAAAAATTATTTTTGTAGAAAGACGATTTAATTCATATACATTTTGTATAGTTTTTCTATGATTTTAAATAGAGTAAATCTATGCTTCTGTAGCCCGTGACTCTGTAAGCACGGTATTTTAAAAAAAACTTAATTAATATCTATGTGTTGTTGTCTATGTGTTCTTCCAGACTTCTGCTTCTATGCCAAATTCATTCAAACATCCATCCTTCCAACAATCTTAATAATGTGCTATATTTTTTTCCTTGTTGATTATAAGGAAGTTGAAGTAATAATGAAAAATATTATTATTTGATATTCAAAGAATTCCAAATAATAGAACCAAAGATAATGGACTGAAAGAATT